GATGATCAGCTGACCTTCACAGATCACATTACAAAGACAGCTCGATCATGCAGGTTTGCTATGCATAACATCAGGAAGATCAGGCCTTTCCTATCTGAGCATGCAACACAACTTCTCGTCCAGGCCCTGGTCATTTCTAGGCTTGATTACTGCAATGCTCTTCTGGCTGGACTTCCATCATGTGCAACTAAACCTCTACAAATGATCCAGAATGCTGCAGCTCGTCTGGTCTTCAACGAGCCCAAAAGGGCCCACGTCACTCCTCTGTTCATCTCCCTGCACTGGCTTCCACTCGCTGCTCGCGTCAAGTTCAAGGTGTTGACGCTTGCTTACAGATTGACCACAGGCTCAGCTCCCTCCTACTTTCACTTACTACTGCAGGTCTACATCCCTTCCAGAAGCCTACGATCGGTCAATGAGCGGCGGCTCGTGGTACAATCACAGAGAGCCACAAAATCACTCTCCAGAACATTCTCATTCACGGTTCCATGCTGGTGGAATGATCTCCCCACCCTCATCCGGAACGCAGAATCCCTGACAGCATTCAAAAGACAACTGAAAACTCATCTCTTCCGTGAGCACTTAACATAAAAAAAAAAAAAATCCTTTTCCTTTAAATCCTCGCTTATCTGGCTTATGCTACTCCGAGCAATGTCTGAACTTGGTATTTTGAGCACTTCTTGCGTTGTTTCCTTGCCTTTTTCACGATGACTCGCTTGCTTTAGTCCTCAGTTGTAAGTCGCTTTGGATAAAAGCGTCTGCTAAATGACTAAATGTAAATGTAAATGTGATCTATTCGGGCCCTATATGCTTAAAATGTTCTCCCAGGCTCTGGAGGTGGGACAACTGCCTCAGTTGTTTAATGAAGCGGTTGTCACAGTCCTACCCAAAAAGGCAAAGACTCTGAGGAGGTTGGGGGGTATAGGCCAATTTCTCTCATTAATGTGGACCAAAAATTTTTAGTTAAGACATTAGCCATCAGACTTAATACGATTTTAGGAAAATTAGTGAAACCTGATCAGACAGGCTTTGTTTCAGGTCGTAGCTCTTTTAGTAATCTTCGTCGCTTGTTTAATATTTTATACTCTTCCCAGACTAATCGGTCTGATCTGGTGATTTTGTCCTTAGACGCTGAAAAGGCATTTGATCAGGTAGAGTGGCCTTACCTCTTCGCCCTGCTACAGAAATTCCATATAGGAAATAAATTCATCACTTGGCTTAAAATTCTATATAAAAATCCTAGAGCGCGTATACTCACAAATAAAATTTTGTCACCATCTTTTACTTTATTTAGGGGTACTCGACCGGGTTGCCCTCTTTCTCCCCTTCTGTTTGCACTGGCCATTGAGCCACTAGCGGAAGCCATTCGCTGTGATGAGAGAATTCATGGGCTCCATACGAAAAACACTATAAATAAAATGTATTTATATGCGGACGATGTCTTACTGTATGTGACTAATCCTGCGTCTAGTATCCCTGTAATCTTAGAAGTGATAGAACAATTTGGCTCATTCTCAGGCTACAGAATTAATCTAAATAAAAGTGAACTCATGCCAGTTGGGCTTAAAGATCTTTCGCAAATTTACCCAGTTCCGTTTAAAATAGCTAAAGACAGATTTACTTATTTAGGAATTGTTGTAACTAGGAAGTTTAGCTCTCTACGAGAAGCCAATTATGTCCCCCTTTTAGAAAAATTGAAAAGAAATATTCAGTTCTGGAGAACTCTTCCTATCTCTTTAATAGGTAGAATAAATGCCATCAAGATGGTTTTTCTCCCGCAACTATTATATCTGTTGCAAAACACCCCTTTATTTCTCCCCAAATCCTTTTTTAAGCAACTTGATTCAACTATCTTACCCTTCATTTGGAATTTTAAAAATCATAGAATTAAGCAAATACATCTTTCCAAACCCAGAAAGGCAGGGGGTCTTGCTTTTCCGGACTTCCGCTGCTATTACTGGGCATCTAACCTCAGAATTATATCAATAATATTAAATGATAAAAGTGGACAACTGGACTGGCTCAGACTAGAACAGGATGAATGTACTCCCTACGATCTTGGTGCTGTGATTCTTTCACCAACGAGGTGTAAAAAAGAAATCTACGGATGCAGCCCTGTCATTAGCAGTATGATCCGTATTTGGAAACAAATTAGAATTCATTTTGGGGTGGAGACGTTACCTTTATCAATTCCCATAGCTGACAATCCCTCTTTTATACCCTCCATATTAGATAAAGGTTTTCAGCAATGGAGAGAATCAGGAATACATGCAGTAAGGGATCTGTATCAAGATGGTACATTCGTCTCCTTTGAAAAATTTCGGGAGAAATGCAAACTTCATAGAAGTAGTTTTTTTAGGTTCTTGCAAGTCAGGAACTATGTACAATCTTATTTAAACAGGCTCTCTGCAATTAGCCCTTCTTGTCTGGACACCTGCCTTAATGACTACTTTGGCAAAGGGAAAATGATTGCCTGCATTTATAACACCCTACAAGCCTCCCAATTGCCTGTTACATCTTCAATCAAGAGTCTATGGGAGGAAGAATTAGGGTCAGAGATTTCTGATGAGTTATGGGCAAATAGCCTGGAAGAGATTAATAGATGTTCTATAAACTCCAGACATTGCCTCATTCAGTTCAAAATCTTGCATAGACTACACTATTCTAAAACAAAATTATCCAGAATATTTCCAGGTGTCTCCCCAAAGTGTGATAAATGCAAGACGGCGGATGCGACCCTGCTTCACAGTTATGCAGTATGTCCTAATCTTCAAAACTTCTGGTGCAAGATTTTCAATGTCATCTCTGAAATCACAAATCAATATATTGAACCAGATGAGTTTTTAATTGTGTTTGGGGTTTCAAGACATGAGCTCTGTTTGTCCAAGTCTCCACAACAATTTCTTTCCTATGGGCTTTTAACAGCCAAAAAGCTTATTTTAACTTTCTGGAAAAGCGAATTGCCGCCATCTTTCCAGCTATGGCTTGATGAACTCACAAATACTCTTCATCTGGAACGTATGCGGCTCCATATAAGGAATAAAAGACAACAGTTTGCTAAAATTTGGGAACCCTTCATAAGGTATTTAGGTGGAGAAGACTTGGAGGAAAGAAATGTTGACTCAACTTGAGTTGGACCTAAGACCACTCCAATGTTGGTAGCTGTCTTATTTATTTTGTTTTTCTGTTTAAGTACTCCTCTCCATGCAGTGCATATCAGGCAGAAGGGGATGGTTGGAGGGTGGTAGTTCAAGTAGTTTTGTTTTAAAAGTTTCGGTATGCTGGAATATAAGCATATGTTTGTGTGTAGGTGGCATGTACATGTATATGCACGATAATAATATGTGTATGCGTGTGTGTACAATTGTATATATAGGCTACATGTGAATGTATGTGTATATATATAATTATTAACTGCAGAAGGAACTATACTATCCTGTTAGATTTTGTATGTATAAGGAAAAGACGTAGGATCTTTGGATATATTTTCTGTGAAGCTTATTTGTACTCTTTATATTAAAATAAATATAAAAGAAAAAAAGAAAAAAAAGAAAAAAAAGAAAACTTGTGCAGACGAGGCCGTAAAAGTCTTTCTCGTAGTATGAGGTTACGCACCGCTGTGTGGGAGTGGCGGGGTTAAAGCCTTTCTCCAAGATCAACAGTTACCTTTCCCTCTTATACCGTGAGCAAAGCATTGTTAAACATGAGTGGAATACCAAAAACAAACCCAACCGACAGGAAACCGAAAGATGAGGCAGATGGGTGGTCATCAAGAGGGGGAGAAGAACATTAACATATTCTCCTCAATGCATGTGTAAGCAATACTACCTAGATTGCACATTAGGATACTTTAATATAATATCTCTAGTAAGTTCACCACCGTTCAGTTCAATTCAGTTTATAAGCTGTCAGATGAGATCAAACATGGCATAGTTACATATTAGAACACACTAGTAAATAAACAGTATGTAGTTGGAAGCATTTGTCCTGTGAAGTAAATAATACAGACGTGTCATTGAGGTCCAAACGACTCTTTCTCTCCCGACAGAACTATCCTGTGACTGGAGTGTCTCAACAGTCCTCGATCAGCTTAGTGATGAAACCCTTGCACTAGATAGGTATTAGCATACTGTAATGATGAAGGCCATTGTGCCACGTTTAATTCACATGTATACATTTAAAGGGATTTCTGAAGTACTAGGGCAGTAAAGAGTTCTGCCCATATTTGCTGAGCCCTACAAATCCCTCCTCTGGTACATTGGACCTCAGGAATTATGTGAGGTACATTTGTGACCTTAAAATTTAGGGCTGAGTGCATTAAAGAAGTGTCTCCATTGGCATAGTAGCACAGAGTAATGATGATAATTGTCAAGGATGCTAAGAAGATACACACACAGAACACCTACTCCCATCAGGTGTAGGCTTAGTCAGATGCACAACAATGTGGACACACTTGTCAGGAACTCTGTCCATATAGCAAGGTTTATGTCCATCGTTGGCTTTGACAAGCCGAACAAGATCTCTAGTGTCTGTGGTGGTCTGTTCCTCCTCATGGCATCTTCAACTCTCTGCTGTTCCTGTCCCACAGGAACAAGATCTCTAGTGTCTGTGGTGGTCTGTTCCTCCTCATGGCATCTTCAACTCTCTGCTGTTCCTGTCCCACAGGAACAAGATCTCTAGTGTCTGTGGTGGTCTGTTCCTCCTCATGGCATCTTCAACTCTCTGCTGTTCATGTCCCACAGGAACAAGATCTCTAGTGTCTGCGGTGGTCTGTTCCTCCTCATGGCATCTTCAACTCTCTGCTGTTCATGTCCCACAGGAACAAGATCTCTAGTGTCTGTGGTGGTCTATTCCTCCTCATGGCATCTTCAACTCTCTGCTGTTCATGTCCCACAGGAACAAGATCTCTAGTGTCTGTGGTGGTCTATTCCTCCTCATGGCATCTTCAACTCTCTGCTGTTCATGTCCCACAGGAACAAGATCTCTAGTGTCTGTGGTGGTCTGTTCCTCCTCATGGCATCTTCACTTCTCTGCTGTTCATGTCCCACAGGAACAAGATCTCTAGTGTCTGTGGTGGTCTGTTCCTCCTCATGGCATCTTCAACTCTCTGCTGTTCATGTCCCACAGAAACAAGATCTCTAGTGTCTGTGGTGGTCTGTTCCTCCTCATGGCATCTTCAACTCTCTGCTGTTCATGTCCCACAGGAACAAGATCTCTAGTGTCTGTGGTGGTCTGTTCCTCCTCATGGCATCTTCAACTCTCTGCTGTTCCTGTACCACAGGAACAAGATCTCTAGTGTCTGTGGTGGTCTGTTCCTTATCATCTGCAAACCAAGTATGCAAAGGTTACAACTTTTAAGGGAGTATCAACATGTAGTTGTTAGGCATTGTAGTATTCCACATAATAACTCGATCTCTGATGACAACAGAGATGGCCTATTTTGATTAAATAATGAGATGATTGCTCAGGATATAATGAAGGAAAAATAGCATGAAAACAACACCTTAGACTGTGACAAGATGTAGAAAAAAGAAACAAAATAAAAGAAAATGGGAAAAGAATGCGGTGGATATGAAGTGACCAAATAAAATCAGTTGACTATCAAGAAACTGTAGTACATAATTTGAGATACGGGGTTCCCGTGTCTTTAAAAGGGCAAACATGGAAATGGTGTCAAAAAGAAAAGTTTTAGAATCTCTAGTACTGTTACATGAAACATAAATAAATTGCCTTAAAGAAAATCGTTCCAATAAGGAAACAATTCAGTTTATGTGCGGTTACAGCAAGAGGAGGAATTTGATTTAACTCTGTGTAGAGAGACACATGTGTGACTGTATTTAGCTGTGTGTTTGTGTGACCATGCTCCAAGCTAAGGTGACAAAGGTTGCTGTTGACAATTGTCATGCAAATTTGGTCTTGTTGCTGCAACAGGGAGCCATGAACATCTCTGTTTAGTGAGATGGGGAGTGATACTTGTGACCAGGTTGTAATTGGGCTCAAATTACTTTTCACCTAGGTTTGTTTACTAGAGCATGGTAAAAGACAAAGTTGTGAGAAAAGCATCTACATAGTTAATAAACATATTGAAGCCGTGTGGCGTTTCTGTGCTCCTGTGTATGGTTTAACTCCAGCTATATGGGAAATAGCAGAGTGTGTCACTAAAGCAACATGACATCATGAATTTGCGTAAACATACACGCCACTTTCAATTCAAGTGGCGTGTTATCTATACGCATTTTGAGCTATCCGCGTGTATGTCCACGCCGAAATCTTTTGCGTGTATGTCTACGCCGTTAAATGTCCGAGTGATTCCGCGTGTATGTGTACGCCGTTAAATGTCCGAGCGAAACGAAGCAAAATCTATATCTACATCTGTGGAGCGATATTTCTTTTCCTAGGATGGTAGGAGAAGACTCATAAATGGTATTAACCCCAGTGACGGGTAGGTTTAGGGACGGGGTTGGGGTAGGTCATATATTTATATATACATAATACAGTAATATAACGTTAAGTCAAAGGCGTTGATAAACACGCTGAAAAGCGATTATGCGTGTTGATAGCACGCCAAAAATGAAAATACGAATTGGCGTGTCATACATACGCCATTTCATGAGATCAGTCTGACTAAAGAGACAAACACATGTAAAACATGTCAATTGAAACTGATTAACAATTCCAGTATTACAATTATTAATTTTTAACACAAGACATTTGGTCTAGTATGCATGTAGCATCTACAACCCCTAACCCAAGTGTTTTAATGGAATAAACTCAATTAATCTATGTGTATACATAACACAAACAACTATTGTGTGTTTTATTAAAACAACAATATGTTATGCACAAATACAATTTTGCAAATGCAGACAGGTTCAATGAATTCAGATGTTAAACTATTACGCTATTTGCTAATGGACTGCTACCCGACTAGCAAATGACGCTAATAGCTGAAGGCCTTGAGTGACCAAAGTTGTTAGCTTTTCTAGTTAGTTTTAGATGCATTGATGCATACTTTTCCTCTGTATGGCCTGTTTTGTGACAGGAATTACAGAATTTGTTCAGTTTGGCACAGTGAGGCTTTCACAGCCACCTCACCATGTATTTGTTTGCGTGACTCAATTTGTTACCCAGCTGACAATACCTTCGAATGTATTTTGTGCTGGAGAAGCACCACACATGAGTGATTGCTGTACAAGCGGCCCTTCATTTGTAAGCAGGAATTCAAGGACAATAACACTGTTGTGGATGACACCTTTAATTCCAGAATACTCCTCAAAAAGTTCAAACATATTTTCTGCATGCGTCTTAAACGATTCTTCAGTACTCTGTTTCCGATTGAAAATCAATTCCCATCCAACAGGACTACAACCCAGCAGATCACAAAGTTGTTTTAGTCTATTAAAGATTTCACTCTCAGGCTCATTTTGATACATTGACTGCACAATGGTGCCTGTCATCAAAAGCTGTAGTATCTTTAGATCAGAACATCTGGAATTGAGCTGATAACAATTTGCCAAATATCTTTTGGTTTGAGCTGAAAAGGTCACAAAATGGTCACATTTTTAGGTTACAAAATGTGACAATTTACTCTCAGTCTAGAGCCCTGTATAGTGCTGCATTTCTGCTTTTACATAAGCGCCACCTACTGTCAGAGAGTGAATTTGTTTTTGCATTGATCTGAACTGACAAATTAGACACTCCTGTTGTTTCAACAAGTTAATAACTGTAGATATCAATCGATCAACAAAGTGTCCTGTGCTCACCACACACCGGCTATAGGTGGAGAGGAGAGATTTGGCTATAAGGTGATGTGTGGCTAACTTACACAGAAGAGACTTTGTTGCTCAGCACATGAAAATAAACTACTTACCGTGATCTCAGACTGTGTTTACGTGGTTTCTCCACTGTGTGGATCCTCATGTGTCGCTTCAGGCGACTTATAATAGGGAAACTCTTCCCACACTGATCACACGTGAGCAGCTTCTCTCTGCTGTGGATCCTCTCATGTCTTTTCAGATTTGCTGATCGACTGAATCTCTTGTCACAGTGTGAACACTTGTGAGGTTTTTCTCCAGTGTGGATCCTCTCATGTGTTTTCAGAGATGATGACACACTGAATCTCTTGTCGCAGTGTGAACACTTGTAAGGTTTTTCTCCAGTGTGAATTCTCTGGTGCAGTTTTAAACGGGTTGCTGTAGTAAAAGTCTTCTCACACTCAAAGCACATGTACTCTCTCACACCAGTGTGAGTTTTCTCATGTACGTGTAAATATGACAGCAGTGAAAAACTCTTTCCACACACAGAACATGAATGCGGCTTCTCCTTCGTATGAACTCTCAGGTGTGTCTTCAGGTGTGATGCACTAAGAAATGTTTTGCCACATTGATCACATGTGAACGGCTTCTCTCCAGTGTGGATCATCATGTGAACATCAAGAGAACATTTGTATGTGAAATTGTTTCCACACTGATGGCATACATGCGGCTTCTCTCCAGTGTGGATCCTCATGTGTATCTTCAGGTCACATTTAATAGAGAAACTCTTCCCACACTGATCACACGTGTGCGGCTTCTCTCCAGTGTGGATCATCTCATGTGATCTCAGAGATAATAAGTGACTGAATCTCTTGTCACAGTGTGAACACTTGTAAGGTTTCTCTCCAGTGTGGATCCTCTCATGTGATTTCAGAGATGATGAGTGACTGAATCTCTTGTCACAGTGTGAACACTTGTAAGGTTTTTCTCCAGTGTGGATCATCTCATGTGATTTCAGATGTGTTGATCGACTGAATCTCTTGTCGCAGTGTGAACACTTGTAAGGTTTTTCTCCAGTGTGAATTCTCTGGTGCAGTTTTAAATTGCCCGCTGTAGTAAAAGTCTTCTCACACTCAAAGCACATGTACTCTCTCACACCAGTGTGAGTTTTCTCATGTCTATGTAAATGGTGCCGCTGTGAAAAACTCTTTCCACACACAGAACATGAATGTGGCTTCTCCTTCGTATGAACTCTCAGGTGTGTCTTCAGGACTGATGCACTAAGAAATGTTTTGCCGCACTGATCACATGAGAACGGCTTCTCTCCGGTGTGGATCCTCATGTGAATCTCAAGACTTAGCTTGCTTGTGAAATTGTTTCCACACTGATGGCATACATGCGGCTTCTCTCCAGTGTGGATCATCTCATGTGTTTTCAGATCTGCTGACAGACTGAATCTCTTGTCACAGTGTGAACACTTATAAGGTTTTTCTCCAGTGTGGATCCTCTCATGTGTTTTCAGAGATGATGAGCGACTGAATCTCTTGTCGCAGTGTGAACACTTGTAATGTTTTTCTCCAGTGTGAATTCTCTGGTGTAGTTTTAAATCGTTTGCTAAAATGAAAGTCTTCTCACACTCAAAGCACATGTACTCTCTCACACCAGTGTGAGTTTTCTCATGTCTATGTAAATGATGCCGCATTGAAAAACTCTTTCCACACACAGAACATGAATGTGGCTTCTCCTTCGTATGAACTCTCAGGTGTGTCTTCAGGTTTGATGCACTAAGAAATGTTTTGCCACATTGATCACATGTGAACGGCTTCTCTCCGGTGTGGATCCTCATGTGAACATCAAGGTTTGCTGATTGACTGAATCTCTTGCCGCACTGATCACATGAGAACGGCTTCTCTCCGGTGTGAATTCTGATGTGAATCTCAAGACTTTGTTTGCTTGTGAGACTCGTTCCACACTGAGTGCAGGTGAAAGATTTCTTGGCTCTTCTTTTCTTTAAAAATGTATTTTTAGTCTTTAGTCTCAAAGGTTTTTCTCCAGGTTGGACATGATGTTCCTCCTCCACTTCACTCAGTTCTTCACTCTCCTCGCTCTCTTCCATCAGGTCTGACACGAAAGAAACAAATATCACAATTATTGTTCAGTACATCAAAATGATTCAAAGAGAGAAATATAAAGTCAAGTCAAGTCAAATATATTTATATAGCGCTTTTCACAATACAGATTGTATCAAAGCTGCTTCACAGTATCAATCAAAACAACTTAACAGTGTTTGTTTATTACTGGAAAAAGACATCCAAGTTTGGTAGAGCTGATCAATGGTATGATGGGTCATTTAATTTGAATATCCCCAACTGAGCAAGCCAAAGGCAACAGTGGCAAGGAACCGAAAAACTCCATCAAGTGACCCGATGGTGTCCTAGAACTCCATCAGATGACCCAATGGAGAAAAAAAAAAACCTTGGGAGAACCCAGGCTCAGTCGGGGCCAGTTCTCCTCTGGCGTTTATGAAGTAGAGGCCGAATTTACAGTAACTGTAAGATTAAAAATTTTATATGAATGCCTGGCTAAATAGATGCGTCTTTAGTCTAGTTTTAAACTGGGAGAGCGAGTCTGAGCAACGAACAATATCAGGAAGGCTATTCCAGAGCTTCGGAGCTAAATGTGAAAATGCTCTCCCTCCTTTGGTGGATCTGGATATCCTAGGAATGACCAGAAGCCTCGAATTTAGTGATCTTAAAGAGCGCGATGGATTATAGGGCGATAGAAGATCCGTTAAATAGACTGGAGCTAAACCATTTAGAGCTTTATAAGTCAAAAGCAAGACCTTGTAATTAATACGGAACTTTATAGGTAACCAATGAAGTGATGATAGAATCGGTGTTATATGATCATATTTTCTTAATCTAGTAAGAACTCTAGCGGCTGCATTTTGGACTAACTGTAGCTTGTTTATTGAAGATGCAGGACAACCAGCTAATAAAGCATTACAGTAATCTAGTCTCGAGGTCATGAATGCATGAACTAACTTTTCTGCATCAGAGACTGATAGCATATTCCGTAGCTTGGCAATGTTTCTAAGGTGGAAAAAGGCTGCATATGAAATATGCTTTTCAAAAGACAGGTTGCAGTCTAATGTAACACCCAGGTCTTTTACTGTAGCGGATAAAGTAACAGGGCATCCTACTACGTTAAAGTCGTGCTGTGACAGGTTTTGTGGACGGGTTTTAGAACCGATAAGAATTACCTCTGTCTTGTCTGGATTTAATAAAAGAAAATTACGCGTCATCCAATCTTTTATATGTTTAACACAATCTGTCAATTTGGATTGTGTATTCATCTGGCCGTGATGAAATATATATTTGAGTGTCATCGGCATAACAATGGAAACTAATTCCATGTTTCCTTAGAATATTACCAAGTGGCAGCATATATATTGAGAATAATAAAGGGCCTAACACATATCCCTGCGGCACTCCATAGTTTGCCGAAGTTATGATCGATTTTTCGCCATTTAAGTAGACGAAATGGTAGCGTTCAGATAAGTATGACCTGAACCAGCTTAATGCGTGTCCTTGAACACCAGTGTAATTTTGTAGTCGATCTAAGAGTATTGTGTGATCTATAGTGTCGAACGCAGCGCTAAGATCAAGTAAAACTAGTATTGAGATACAGCCTTGGTCCGAAGCTATAAGTAAATAATTTGTGATTCTAACAAGCGCAGTTTCAGTGCTATGATGTGGCCTGAATCCAGACTGAAACTTTTCATAGATGTCGTTTTCTTGCAAGAAAGAGCCGAGTTGAGCGGACACAACTTTTTCTAATATTTTAGACATAAATGTAAGATTTGAGATGGGTCTGTAATTTGCTAGGTTATTTGGATCTAATTGTGGTTTCTTAATAAGAGGTTTTATAACTGCCAGCTTGAACGTTCTTGGAACATGACCTAAAGATAAAGACGAGTTAATAATATTGAGAAGAGGCTCTTCCACTATAGGTAACACTTCTTTCAATAGTTTAGTTGGTATAGGATCTAATAAACATGTTGTTGTTTTAGATGAAGCGATAAGTTTATTTAACTCTTTTTGTTCTATGGTCGTAAAGCATTGTAATTGTTCTCGCGGGGTGAAAATTGCGACTGAATTACAAGGCGCGAGCAAAGATTGAGCGTTTACGATCGTGATTCTGATGCTTTCAATTTTCTCGGTGAAGAAGTTCATGAAATCATTACTACTAAACTGTAACAAGGTATTTTGTTCAGACGACGTCTGTTTATTTGTTAGTCTAGCCACGGTATTAAATAAAAACCTTGGATTATTTCGGTTGTTTTCTATTAGTTTGCTGAGGTGCTCAGCCCTGGCCGTTTTAAGGGCCTTTTTATAACGTGACATACTGTCTATCCACGCGAATCTAAAGACCTCTAAATTATTATTTTTTCCATTTACGCTCTAAATTACGGGTTTCTCTCTTTAAAACATACGTAGTATTATTGTACCATGGTGCTATACTTTTTTCTCTGACCTTTTTTAATCTAATGGGTGCAACAATATCCAATGTTCTAGAGAGAATGGAGCTTATAGTGCTAGTTAGTTCGTCTAGTTCATCTGTTTGTTTGGGTTCAGGCAGCAGCTGAGTCAGATCAGATAAGCTATTTGAGAAATTATCTATGGTGGATGGAAGAATTGTTCTACCTGGTCCGATAACGTGGCGCAGCATGACATATTACAGCAGTGCGTAATATGCAAGTAACCATGTAATGGTCCGTGACATCATCACTTTGTGGAATGATATCTATATCGGTTGGATCGGTTCCATATGATATAATTAAATCGAGTGTATGATTAAGACGATGAGTTGGTCCGGTGACGTTTTGCTTGACCCAGAAGGAGTTTAATAAATCTGTGAACGCAGCCCTTAACGCATCATTTGAATTATCTACGTGTATGTTAAAATCTCCAACAATTAATGCTTTATCGACGTTGACCAATAGATCTGAGAGAGAGTCTGCAAACTCTTTTAGGAAATCGGTGTAAGACCCTGGAGGTCTATATACGGTAGCCAATGCTAGAGATAATAGGGATTTCTTTCTTACATCTAAGAGCATAACATTTAGCACAAGTACTTAAAACGAATTAAACCTATGACGAGTTTTCTGAGTAACATTTAGAATATCTCTGTAGATTGTTGCAACACCGCCGCCACGACCTATCAGACGGGGCTCATGCTTATAACAGTATCCTGGCGGAGTAGACTCATTTAGACCGAAATAATCATTTGGTTTAAGCCAGGTTTCAGTAAGGCACAGAACATCGAAATTATTATCTGTGACCATTTCATTTACAATAACTGCCTTAGGTGTGAGCGATCTAATGTTTAGAAGACCTAGCTTTAGAAATTGTTTTTGTTCACTAATAGCGAGACTTTTTGTTTTAATAACAATTAGATTTTTTCTTGATCCCGCGGTAGATTTATTATTTGTTCTCAGTAAACAAGATAGACACAGTTTCTATGCAATGTTCTACACTAGTATTAATATCAATTAAATTGGTGCAGTAGAGTCTGTGATTTGGATTTTTGGTTTAACATCTTGGAGATGTTATCCGACAGAAGATCTGCCCCGATTCTACTTGGGTGTAAGCCATCAGCGCGGAAGAACCTCGGTCGCTCCCAAAACAGATTCCAATTATTTACAAAGAGCAGTTTCTGCTCATTGCACCATGACAATAACCATTCATTTAGCACGAATAATCTACTGAACTTTTCATGCCCTTTTCGGTACGTAGGAAGCGGTCCAGACACAATAATCGATGTTTCAGGCGATGTTCTGCGTACCGTATCGATAAGGCTCTTGAAGTCTTTCTTCAGAACCTTTGTCTGTCGCAGCCTAATGTTGTTAGCTCCCGCGTGCAGCACAACAGCTCCGACGCGCTCGTCACCGTTCAAGATCTCAGTTACCCGCGCAGTGATATCGAGAACACGAGCACCAGGAAAGCAATGACTGTGCACCTTACTTTTACCTAACATAGCGTGGACGTGTCGGACCGTGGAATCGCCGATGATCACAGCATCGCGTTCCGTTTCATGAAGAGGGGAGAAGCGGTTCTGGGTGGAGATCTCGAAAACCGGGAGGGGCGAAAAGATTCTTGTCCTGGCTCGCGGCTTCCGCGGAACCACCCAGGCTTCGTGGTGGTGTGTTGGAGCTGGAGTGAATGAAACCATGGCTGATCGTGACCTGGACGCTCGGGACCAATGCTGAGAAACGCACGGAGTAGACGTGGTCAACGTCAGCGGGTTACTAACGTTAATCACTGATCCGTGTGCATCAGCGCGTGATGTTTCAAGAGCTAAACGCCGGTCTCTCAGCTCAGCTTGTGTCTCTAGAAGGTCACGGATCTGCTTTTCTACAGCCTCTAATTCAGACTGCACCGCGAGCAAATCAGATTTGTTCTCATCTGCACCAAAAGGTAGATAACATACATCTGATATATTCGCCATTTTAACAGATGGACAGTAAGTTAGCAATGATGCAACCAGTGATGCTATTAATATTTATACTAATTTATGACTCAAGTCTTGGGTATAATCCGTCTTTTTAGTGGTACGGGTGTAATGTAGACGCACGATAGACGGGAAAATGTTTGTTTGTAAGTGAGTGTAAAGCGTCTGGCAATCGATCGTAGGGCAGAGCAGCAGTGAAGCAGTGTCTCGCTCTACGACCAACAACCAAATGTTCCAACCGTATTTGCGGTTCCAGCCGTATAATGGCTTGAGACGCGTCTGGCCACGTTTGTAAGTGAGTGTAAAGAACGTGTTGTGGCAAAAATTCATCTCAAACAGAACATCACTGCGTAAGAGACAGTCATAGTCAAATTATATAAAATAGAAGTATTTATTCTTGCAAGAATAGGAGCAGTCTAATACACAGTTGTTACCCTGTGCAGAAGAGTGACACACCCCCAGACAGACTGAACTAGCTTTTATCTTAGTTTCAAGGCCTTCTTCCCCCCAGAGCCTTCCTCCCAGTAGTTTTCCATAGACGTCACTAGTTGGCCCAATAAGCCCCCCCCCTGCACCAAAATGGCCTTCTGACATCTAGGTCAGAGGTC